CAAAAGGTAAAATGGTTTTCCACTTATCGTGTTATCGCTAAAAGTGCACGGCGACGACGGCGACGACGGCGACGACAGATGCAGATGATGGCTATATGTACAGACACATCTGTGTCTGTACATAAAAAGAAATATGAGAAGATGAGATAGGAAAGGAGGGAAAGAGGAAAACCCATGGCTGGGTCCACATAATATGTTGTAAAATGACAAACAACAGCAGGCTCCTATATTTTGGCAAAGGAAGGGGGCAAAGAAACGGGGCTGTTCACGGTTCAAATTTCGAATTATACATAGGATAGAATAATATAAGCATTGTCTTCAGTGCTGTTGTTTTGTTACTTTGAATAAGCATTTTTTCGAATAAAATATGTTCATATGCTTAGATATAAATTACATCAACTTTCATTATACTGAAATCAATACATACGTGTTTCATTGTCTGTAATTTCCTTATATATATTCTGTTGTGCCACATCAGTATAGCTATATTATTCTGATATCTCAGCTTGTCTTTAGACCCCGTGACCTCAATTGGTGGCTATACTCCGTAATAATCTCTTAAGAGATTATAACAAAAAAAAAACTTTTTAGAAAAAAAACAGGGACAAACTTTGAATGTAAAAAAGGATTCATTAACCATTGGTAAGTATGGAAAAATTGTTGTTTACTCTGGAAAAATTATTTTTTGGGCCACATCAAAAGTTATTATCCCTTTAAATGATTTATTCATTTCAAAAGGACTTTATTCAGGTGCCTACCAGCTTGTCCTTGGGATTAATATGAGTATTACAACCATATATGTATATGTGTCAGTTCCATTTTGGCCATCTCTGGGTTAGTCTTAGTGTGCAACTGCTGCTTTCGACAATGTAGTTGCTGCTAGCAGCCAGATTATGATGATAAAAATATGTTTGTAGTATAGAATATATGGATTGGGGGATAACAGCAGTGTAAAAAAAGAAATGTAAAAAAAAAATTTAAAAAAAAATTCAGTAATTTATATTTATGATAATAATTTTAATTTATTTCAGATGTTCTTCAAAAAACTATTCTTCACGATGTTGATGTTAAAAACAACAAAAATTTAATGGCCTTTGCAGACTTTCTTTTTTGTTTTATAAATGTTCAGACTAAATGTTGTCTTTATCTTGTCACTTAAATGGAAAATGCTCAAGGTTGTCTCCCCACGTATCATCCCTGCAGGGGCAAAATAATTAAATCTTGGCTCTATTCGACTGGATGTGTGGGGACGCATATGAGCGGTGAATAGACCATTATAGGATTAAGTGGTTTTCCTTTCCTATAGGGTCCACCATATTTGATCCTTGGACCAGTTGATACTCGGATCTCCTATTCTGAATGAGTGCATTCTGAGCAGTGGACTAACAGATCCATGGATCAAATATGGCCAATCAACTTAAATGATTGTGCGTAATCTCCATGGGGAAAGTATTCCCTGTCTAATCAGGAATTAAGCCGCAAGTTTGTAAGTGGGTCACCATATTTGATCTGCAGATATGTTAGTCTGCTGTTCTAAATGCGCTCAGTGGCCCCTGTGCCTTTAAAAATCAAGCACATGCATGCTCAAGGTACTAACTCACCAATTTGTGCATCAGTTCTAAAGTCTCTTCTTTGTACTGTTTCCACTTTAATCTTCTTTGGAAATTCTGGATCTACACAGATATAGTGACTTCCCTTTTTAATGATAAAATTTCCTGCAATTAAGAAAAATTAGGGCAGTCATAATTTCTATTTTTATTTATCTTAATTTGCAAGCAGTACACATTACTCCAATGAGTTGTCATTTAATTTTCTTTCTATTTCTCTGTCTCTTTCTCTTTTTTCAAGAAAACTCACCTCTGCATAAAATAGTCTTGCATTCTTTACACAGAACTTTAACATCTGTTCCATCATCCAGTTCTGACCGTCTTGCACTACTTTGGGCTTGTGATTGAAGATGTCTGCCCCACAGTTCATCCTGAAATTAATGGAATTTGTACAAATAAGTGAAATGCTTTAGACTCGTACAGCCTTTTAAAAAATCCAACCACCTTGCATTTTGGGTTTGTTTGAAGATACTTATTCCATAGTTCATCCTTAAATGCAATATGAACAGATATGCAAATTGGCAAAAGGAACCATACAGACTTCTTTTTAAACCCAACTTGCAGCCGTACATGTACATGTACAATACTAACTGATGAAAACAATCAGAAAAAGACAAAGAGAATTTCTGTGTCATGCCATCAGAAAGGACGGAATAGAATAACTTGTTCTCTGACCATAAATTAAAGAAAGAAGAACAGAAGACAAAGAACATCATGCACTGAAAGCCCTAATGCCTTTGCAACAAAACAATGCCTATCAAACAGCGAGCTCATCCAATTTACTGAAAAGTGGAGGACCATGATTGTCATGGCTGCACCAGGTCTGACACTTGAAGAAGACTTTACTTAAAAAATAGGGGAGAAATACAAACTCCCGAGCCAGTGGGTATGTACTGGAGAGTCTCCGACCTTATCATATAAATGTGCAGAACCAATTCTGCATCTGTTTTTTTTTTCTTTAATTCTTCCAGGAAGTGGCTCAAGCCTGAGAAAAAGCAATTATTTCACAACAGGTGAATTATTGTGAGGGGACAAAAATGATAACATTTCATTTAAACCATCGGTGATTATAACATTAACATATCAAACAATACAGGCAACTATTCCTCCATCTACATGTTATAATCTTTAATTGTCCTACCTGTTTCACCTTAATGTTCCTCCTCACTTCCTCGGGGTCCAGTTTGTCAAAGTCCTTCAGAGCCTCCATCATTGCATGCTCCTTTGACATGTTCTGAAACTCTCTGGCAGCATTAATTGAACCATCTGGCACAATGAGATAACACTCGCTCTCCTTGGCCCTTGCACGGCCTTTAGATTGAACCGTGCCAATCTCATTGCTTACAAAGTTGTACCGAATCATCAAGTTGCATTTTGGGATGTCTAAACCTTCCTGTGCGACATCTGTGGCAACCAAAAGATTTATTCCATCAGGTTCAGCCAGACCTGTTGAAATTAAAGGATTTTGCTACAATTAGGGAATATTTATAATAAATGCAATAAATATATAATATCACACACACAATAATAATAGTTATCATTATCGTGTATAAATGCTTTCATCAGCATTGAGCACTCTACAAACGTTATATATATATATATATATATATATATATATATATATATATATATATATATTTTTTTTTTTTTTTTTTTTTTTTTTTTTTCTGCTACAGTAATATATATTACACCAATAATATAAATATTTTTAATTGAGATATCGGGGGGGGGTGGTTAGTGGGGTTTTT